CATTGTCGCTTCCGATCATTGGGTTGGGCCCGTCACTATTGGGAAGATCCGACGTGCTCTAGGCTCCTTATTTAAAAATTAAATGTTAATATATGTATGTGTTTATTTATTTATCAATTCAAAAATGTGGAGAAGGAAAAGTAAACTTAATAAAGTGGGGGTTTTGGCTGGATTGGCCAATCCTTATATTAGGTTATTTTAAGAAAAGGGATTTAGTGACGGCTGTTTGATTTAGCGACGGCTATCATGTAAATTTCCTATATTTGAATGTTAAATAATTTAAGCCTGAATGTATTGTTCTAGTTTCGTTTGGAACTGTTAAAGTCTCGGGAGACTTAACTCCAGAAAATGTTGAAATAATGTTTGACAGATTTAGTCGTTTCAAGAAATGCAAATTTATAGTTCGAATAAATAAAAAACTTTTGCCAAAAAATTATAACAAAAATCAAATTAAAGTTACAGAGGAATATATTAACCAACAAGGGATTTTAGGTAATTTATTCTTATTTAGAGGGCATAAAATTCGTTGAATAATTTGTCATAATCCTCAAAAAAGCCAATTTTTATTCAAAAAGTTTTGGTCCAAATCTATGAAATTTACAACCTAAAGATGTTAAAAGATTAATTGCCTAAAGTAATTTCTCATATAAATTCTGGATAGATTATAAAGGTAATTTATAGAGATGACGGTTAGAAGCCGAATCTTCGGATAGCCGGATATCTGAAAATTTTCAAAGAACCAGCAACCCTAGCATTTATTAATTTTTTATGTTTCTCAAAGTGTTTTAAATAAAAAAATTATTATAAATTTTTTACCATTAAGCTGAAAAGAATACAAAACTATTTATTTCTCATTGTGGACAGAATAGTTTAATTGAGGTTATATTATTTGTTGTTAATTATTAAATTTGGAAATCTTGGATGTTTGCAAAAATACCCATTTTCAGTTTTTGTTCAATTAATTGAATTTAAGGACCCTATAAGGAAAACCCCCCAAATTTTGTCAAAGTTGACAACCCTTGAGGATAATTTTTATTAGGTAAAGTCATTAGTCGACAGCCATTTACATGCTGTGATAACAAGCTGTCTCTGAGGAGAGAAAAGAGAAAGACAATAAGAGTGTCGCAAAAGCTGCTATTCTTAAAGAAGAAATAGTATGAGTTAATTTAACTCAAATATAAAAACTTTTATTTAATTCACTCTAATTAACATAAATAACTAGAGATCGGATTTTTGGGCCATAACTATTCAAGGAAAAAATAGGTTATTACCTAAAAATCCGCTCCCTACTAATAACCATATATTAAATTCAATTTTAAAGGCAATGTATGCAGGTGTTCCTTTAATTTGTATTCCTAACACGCTTGATCAATTCTACAATTCCTCCATTGTAGAATATTTGGGTATTGGAATTTATGTAAAAATGCTAGAAATTGATGAACGTTATGACATTGAAGATAAAAATTCAAAATTTGAATATGATTTTAGTAGAGCCTTCAATGATATTTTTGGCGATGAGTAAGTTTAGTAAAGATTTGGAAAAAACAAAGCCAATTTGGCAACCCTGGCATTTTTCCTTTCAATTTAATATTTTTTCTAAATCCTCAAAGTAGCTCAAGTTTGGAGAGACAGGCCTTCAATACCCCTTCAATTCCAGACACTATAAAGATTCAATTATATATTTATTTAGCAAATATCAAAAAGCTGCAGATAATTTGAGAGAAAATATTCTTTCACACTATTACAATGGCCCCAAAGCAAAAGACATTTTAATTGGAAAGATTTCGGAAGTTATCGGTGATTGAGGGAATAATTAAGAATTAAAGAGAAGATTGAGAGAGTTTTTTTGAGATTTTGTTTTCATAATTTACTACATGTTTTGGGGTTTCAGCCTTTTTAGTTAAAATTTGTTTGAAATAAACTAAAATTTTTTAATTTAATTTTTTAATTAAAATTTTGTTTTGAAAATCAGAGCGTGTACACGCGAACGAGCCGTCACGATTCTCGAAAATCTGGAATCCTCTAAGTTTTTCGGGTTGGGAATCTCGACTTTACGAAAGGGAATTAAAATTTCATTTAATTCCTGATTGCCGTTTTTTTTCTCGGGAATTCACATTCTCGATTCACGAATTGGGAATTGCGGCGCTGACAATGGAAGAAGTATGTGATATGTCGGAGCATTTGCATGATCAAAGCGGATTTGGATTAATATCTGAAGAAATTATAGGAGTGGTTATTAGATGGGTTAAAGGGAATATTGAGGGATATGGGCGTGATATCGAGGGATAAAGAGGTTTATGTGGGAAAGAAAACAGGACATCAGTCCGTCAACTGAAGATACGGGTTCGCTCCAATTCGTCGATTAACCTTTAGCAATAGCTGAAAGGAGGAATGGCCATAGCCAGCCTATATTAATATTTTATTTGAATTCTTATGTTAGGATTTTTTATTTTTTCAACAAAATTTTAAAAAACTGTAATTTGTAAATCTGGACGATCAAAAAAATTGCCAGTTTTTCTATTTTATAAAAATTCTATTTCCTAATTTCTAACAAAAGTGAGCATTTTTTATCAACTTTACGCAATTTACTTTATTTAAAAATTAATTTTATTTAAAAAACTTTTAATTTTGGCAATAAAATAATTTCTAAATAAATTTAAAAAGATTTTTTTAATTCTGCAAAATCCCAATCTTCCCTCTCCTTCTCTTTTTACCTATTAAATAAAATTAAAATAAAATCCCATTTAAAAATTTTACAACTGCCAAATCTGCCCACTCATTTCCTGTCATATTTCCGCCTTCCACTATTAAAATTTTATATTAAATCCCCCCCCCCTCTCCCTCCCTCTCCCTCTCCACCTCCTCCTTACCTCCTCCTCTATCCATTCACTCTCATTTTTTTTAAAAATTTTTTAAATTGATTTTTATATATAAATTTAAAAAAAAATTATTTAATTATTAAATTTTCAAAAGAAAAACTTTCCTTGAAAAAAAAATTTCAAATGAAAATATCAACTTCAAAGTTAATTTTACCTTTGTTATTTTTATTAGTATTAGATTTAAAAGGTTAGTTTAAAACAAATACCGTAAATCCATAAAATAAGTCCGGGCTTATTTTTTCGATCGACCTCTAGAGGGAGCTTATTTTAGAGGGGGGCTTATTTTGGAGATGCCTTTAAGTTGGAGATAAGTCAAAAATGTTTTAGATTATTATCTCTCTTGTATATATCAAAGGGGATATCGGAGGATTAAGGTGAATATTGAGACATTTAGAGGAAGCATTGGGAATTAGTAGGAATATCAGCGGATTTTGGAGGATTAAGAGATGTCGGGAGAATAAAGGTTAAAAAGCATTTCAGAAATTAAAATTATTATTAATGGATTTGATGGGATTTAGAGGATATAGCGAAGAATTTCCCAGATATCCGTCTTTATCTTTCGAGATCCAAGACTCCACTTAATCCTATGATATTTCTACAAATGTTAGAATATCTCTGATATCCAACAAAATCCCCGGATATCCGTTCAAACCATCTTAATCCAATGAACTCACTATTAATCCTTGAAATCTTTGTTAATCACCGAAATCTCTCTTGATCTACAGAAATCCCTCTTATTCCCCCGATATCTTTGTTAATCTCACTTAAACTTCACTATTCATATCCGATATCGCTATTAATCACCTCGAATCCCTCGATATCCATGTACGTTGATCACTTTATATACCTGTTAATCTTCCAAATACTCCATTGAGACTCAACTGAGGGGACACAACAATTAATCAACAATTAAAAATTTTATGTGAGAGATGGCTTATTTTAGGGGGGGTATTTTAGAGGGGGGGGGTATTTTAGAGGGGGGTTATTTTAAAGGGGGGGGGCTATTTTAGAGGATTTACGGTATATTTTTTCATTAATTGACTTTTAAAAGCAAAAAATAAATTTAATTTTATTTAAGGATTGGATGCTGGTAATAATTGTAAAGGCCAAAATGCTACGGGTAGGGGAGATCGAAGAGCGGAGAAAGGAAAGGGCCCGATGAAAGATGAAGAGAAAAAAACTGGTAAAGTCAATTTGAGTACAATTCACATCTATGATAACGAAGGCGAATGTAAGTATAGTAAAGTGGTTGGTCCCATATCCCTGTGTCTCGTTGGGGGATTGTTATTATACTCTCCAGATTATAGGAGATAGGTTATGCATTATTCTTCCCTAAAAGTCCTGATGGATAAGAGGGCGGCAATTTTTATCTGAATGAAGAAGTAATCTGCCTTACAAGGCAGATTACTTTGCACCTCTCTGAAACTTACGCTTCATAAAGTGATGATTGCTCTTCACGTAGTTTTAGGATTATCCCGGGTTTACAGTATTTAGCATTCTTACTAAATACAAGAAACGTTCAATTTCCTAATAAAAACAGTTAAAATACAAAAAAAATTCCTCAAATAATACTTCTTTTTTCTTTTTTTTTTGAAAAATTTAATCTTCTCCCTTAGCATCTTCACAAGATCAAACAATAAAATGTTATTGTGGGACGAGAATGAATGTGAGAAGTGTTAACTTAAAATTAAATACAAGAAATGAGTCCACTTTATATGTTGGAAAAACCCCAATGTTTACTGTGAAAGGAGGAAAAGTAAAAATTTACCATGCAATGTGGCCCGAGATGGAGAGATGTGTGGCGATTAAATTTATAATTAAATCTAATTCGGACACGATGGATGCTGCAAGCAAAGAAATTGGAGTTTTTGAACATTTTTATAAAGTGCATAGAAATGAGAAATTTCGTATTATAGACTATTTTGGGCAGTAAGTTTTATAATATTTTGGTAATTTTAGAGTTTATCTACCTTGTTTTTTTTCTAAAAATCTCCAGTTTTTAACATTAATGTTTTATTAAAAATAATATCCACAAACATAAAATTTTACCCTCAAAAAATACACAAAATTTGATTATTTCTCAGAAATACAAACACAATTTAGCTGTAATAATTTCCTTAATTTCTTAAGTGAGGATAAGTCAGTTATGGATCAGAATCTTCAAGTATCGTCAATTGTTATGGAACTGGGAGGAAATAATTTATTAGCATATTATGCTGAAAGTATAGGTGAGCAAAGCGATGATGAGCTGTTGACAAGTGATGAACCAAACAATGCTGAGCTGTTGACAAACATTTTAATAAGCGCGGCTGAAGCACTCGATCAATTCCACAAACGTATTTTTTAATTATATTATTCGAATTTTACAAAATATACAGTAATTTTGACAATTTTTCGGGTTGGGTTACTAATCGAAAAATCGGGGTTTCAGTTTCGTGTAACATGTGTTTAGAAATTTAAAGTTTGCTCGTATTTGTGATATGAGGCTATAATTACATAGTTGGAATAATAAATGTCATGACGGATTTTGAATAAAAGGCAGCAATTACTTCCGTGTCCGGACAATGCGTCAGTGAACAATGCGGCAGTGGAACTAAAGATATGATATAAACATTAGGAGTATTTAAAAGGGGATTTTGGGGTTTAAAAGAGATATAGAGAGATTTGTTGCGATTTAGGCCGATATCTCGGCCTTAATATATGTTTGGGAGGATTAACAGAGATATTGTTTAGTTGGATTAAGATGGAGATCAGCCGATTTGGAGAGATATCAGTGAATTTTTATCTCTTTATATCATCACTTTTAATCACTTTATATCAATACTATCCGATTGTCCACTGACGCAAAGTCCACTGACGCATTGTCCGGGAGCCATTACTTCGGATCTAAATAGTTAGGGACCAAAATGATTTTTAACAACATAAAAACTCAAACGTTTTACAATCAATTTTTATTTATAGGAGGCTTTGTACATTTGGATATAAAATCTGAAAATTTTGTTAGTACTCATGAAAAAGATCAAAACGGTTCTCTGGTATTCAAATTGATTGATTTTGGTACTTCGGAATTTGTGGGTAATCAGGGTGTTATAAACTTGCAAAAAAAAGTCATGGGGACAGATATATACATGGCACCAGAAATTTTTGATAAAAAATCTGTTTGGGTAAATTTATTTTTTATTTAAATATAATGTTGAAATAGCGATAGATTTAAGTGTTAACCTCACTATCGCTATGCGACGTTATCTGAATCATTAGTTAATGGGGAGAAATTAAAGTGAGAGATTAGCAACAATTTTAACAAATAAATATTTTAAGGTATCTCCCAAAGCAGATGTTTACTCATTCGGAGTGCTTATCTATAAGTTGTTATACAGTAAACAAGAACACCTTGAAGTTTTAGATTTTGAAAAGCTCGGAAATTTTAATCAATTGGACACGCTTATTGTGGCATGTTTGCTAAATTATAATTGATAATTTTTCTTAAAATAAATTTTCTAAAAGCCGAACAAATTAGAGAAATATTCCCCCACCTATCTCCTTTGGAAAACTATAATCTTTATAATTTCGAGCCTCTTTAATTTCAATCAAACCTCACAGAAGGAGGATTAACTTAACACCATGACACATAATTGTATAAATTATAAATAATTTTTTCGGTTTCTATTCAATGTTTTATCGGAAACAAGTCTCTAAAGATATTTAGCCCTCTTTTATCCTGTACATCTTGAATCTACAGAAAATAAGAATAAAATTTCAGGCATGCACACGAGAGCATGCAACTTCTCGCCCAACAATGAAGGATGTTGTTCGTTTTCTAACTGGAAAAATCAACAAAATTTGAATGAATATTTTGTGAACGAGCTTTTTAAAAACGATGCTAAATGATAGAAATCGAAAAGTTTTCTTTTACCTCACATATGAAACACCTCTTTATTAAACACCTCTTTTTACTAAACTCTTATTATTATTACATACCGTTATGTTTCTAATAGAAGCACTGGGCTTATATTTTTCAAAACCCCTCATTGAGTGGGCTTCTATTAGGGCATGGGCTTCTATTGGAGATTGGGCTTCTATTAGAAACATTAATTTATCCTTGTTTTAGTCATTTATTTAGTTTTATTTACCTTTTTTTCGAAATAGTCCTGATGAATTGAGTTCAATTCCGTTATTATTGTTTTAAAAATATTTTGTTTACGGGGAGTTAATATCACCTATTTGAACTATTTTGGCGTTTTAGAACCCAAAATAGGTTGATACCTATTTTGAATGTTTTCATAATTTTTTCACTTTTTTGTCACTTATTTTCATAAAATTTCGCTTTTTTATCAAAAATTTGTAAAATACCTTATAATTCTTCAAAAATTTTTTGCTTCTTTCACTTCTAAAAAAGGATAAAACTAAAAAAATTTACTAAACATTTTTGATTTTTATCTTTCTTTGAGTTATTTAATTTAGTATTTTTAATTTTTTTTGACAAAATCCCAAAATTCACTCTGACGTCCTCAATTTACCGCGGCTTTAATTTTATCCCCCCCCCCTTTTTTCAATTGAAGCCCAAAATTCCGAAAAGTTTGAGGCTAACTTTCCTAAATCCTGGAGCCCAACTTTCTAAAGCCCAAATTTCTGGACATTAATTGAATGTCTATAATTTTTCGAATTGTATTTAAATATATGTACAACTATAAGTCGTCGAATATCCGTGAATGTTAAATTATCCGCCAATCCTAGGTGAGAGATTAAAACTACATTAACCAGGTTATGTAAATAAATACGAATCTTGGGTTGTTGTTTATAGGAACGAATCATGGGCTGGCGAATTATATTTTCTATTTCCTTAATTAACTTCGATATTCCGTATTTATTCAATATAACAACATGTCGTTGAATTTTAACCCTCTTCTAGGGTGTCGTTATAATAGAGACTGGGGTTATGATAGAGATTGTCTTTATAATTTAGAATAAATACGGTAACACACATACAATGTGTTTTTAATTAATAAATAAAATTATATCATTCTAAAAATTTTACTTTCCATAGGAATCAAAATAAATGTTTAAAAAATGGTTATGTAAAAAAATATAAGAGAAAATATTTAATATAAATATTTAATCTTTCCCAAGAATAATGTTGACTTTAAAAATTCTCTTCTTTCTCAAATTTCTTTCAAATCCTCTGAATATCTCCTTTTAATTGTCCTACTAAAATGAAATTTTAAAATTCTTACTAATATAAATATTATTGTTATTTTATAGATTTTAGGGGCTCGTGTAAGATACATATAAGCAAAGAATATCAAAATTTACCTCCAAATTAATAAATGGATTCGCTTCAGGTCTCTCCGAAATGAAAAAATTTGGCGCTGGTCTAGTTTATGCGTCCAATTAAACCTTATGAGTCAAATCAAAAAACAACTGAATTTTTCTTAGTATTGCAAAGTTGGGTATGGTTCCAAAACATTTCTTCGTGTTCGGGACCTACGCCCACTGGGTCTGGGACCGTTCCTTGCCCTATCCCTCGAAATTTCTGAAAGTTATAGCCAATTTTTGAAAATTTTAGAAAAACGATTGTAACTTGAAAAATTTCGAGCGATAGGTGAGGAACGGTCCCAGACCCAGTGGGCGTAGGTCACGAACATGAAGAAATGTTCTGGAACTAACGCCAACTTTGCAATACCAAGAAAAATACAATTGTTTTTTGATTTGACTCATAAAGTTTGATTGGACGCATAAACTAGACCAGCGCCAAAAATTTTTTACAGCCGCTATCTGCAAGTTAAAAAAACACGCAATTTTACGCAATCTGCAATTGCGGCCAACCCGGAACTCTTACACTGCCGCTTTATTTCTTTCGTTTATTATTTGTTCCGCGTTCATCCGACTTTCGTCTACTGCTTAAAAATGCGTCATGGCAACCCTAACACTACGATATGCTTAAAGTTTGTAAAATTTTAACATTTTATAACAATTGGCTTTTAATAAAGGAGGCCTATAAAGTCCTTTTATAAAAACATTTTTGAAAATTTTAGCTCTGATTTTTTTGTGCTCAGAAAACTGCAAAAATTATCCCAAAACATCAAAATTATAATACTAAAATAACATATAATTCTAAGGTTCCTGAAGAGATCTCCGGTTTTTGAGAAGTTTTTAAATGTATCAGGGATTCTGCCACCAAAATATCAAAATTACCGATTTCGGAAAACGGGAATTCCCGACAAAAATAAATTTCCCGATTCGGATTTCATCACTTTTCAGCGTCGGACCTGAAAGGAAAATTCCCGATTTTTTCAAAAAAATATCGGGAACGATGATTCCCGACCCAAAAAACGTCGGGAATTCCCAATTTCGGGAAATCGGGAATCGGGTCGGCAGGATCCCTGAAATGTATGGTATTCTAGTTATTTTTAATACAATTTTAAATAATTCTTTGACCCACCTCATTTTTGTTTCCTTCATTTGTTCCTTGTGACTATAATTATTAATTATAAAACAATTGTTTAATTATTAACCCCCCCCCCCCCTAAAGAATAATTTATTTTTGGGGGTAAAAAATATTTTTTATTAACTTTCATTAAATTAAAAATTGAGATCAATTGACAAACTCCATATATATGTCAGTGTTAAAATTAATTGTTTTATTCAAATTAAATTTTAACAAAAATAAATAAACTTACAGGATCAGATTTTAAAGGCATACTAACACCATCTCCAACATGCCCTTAATTTTAAAATAATTTAATGAGAATACACGGCATGACAAAAAATTTTACATATTTCCAGTAATTACTGAGATCTTTTTTTTTAATTTAAACTTATTTTGATAAAATCAGACATGTACATATTTATATTTAATTAGAACTTAAAACTTTAAATTTTCACATACACAAATGATTTGTTGGTGCTTGTTTTGGATGCGATTGTTTTCTTTGACGATCTTCAGATCGATGATCGACAACCTCCACCTGTTGTTTCTTTGGGCGGCCAGCTTTATTTGCCACAGTTTTTGGCCCAACACAGCATTCAACAAAAACTATAGTGAATATTACTAAAACAAGGAAGAATTTTCCCATCTTTGTTTAGCGATGTTGTTTTAAGAATTTAAAGAATTTTTTTGCTCGAATGAATAATTCCCGTCTCTGATTCTCCTTTTAAATAAACTGTTGCGCGCACTCCTATGTATCTGAAAGTGGGCGTGCTCTCAACTGCCAATGGAGCACTGCTGTCAAGGAGGTTTTCCAGGGATTTTGGCAATTGTGGAGGGACGGCATGGCATTTTGTATTATCCACACTCTCTGAATTCCATTATCACTCATCTTTTGATTTTTCAATGTAAAGCTGGCTGACAATGTTGGAGAGA